CAGTCGGCACAGTTTGTCATCTTTCATATTTACGCAAGTAATTATTCGATTCAGAAGCATTCCCGTTTATACACTTAAAAATACGTATATGTATAATATAAATGCTGAAGTAATTCCGTGGTTAGAAAATTGAAAAACACATTTACCTACAGAGGTAATTGCCTTTTGATGACTGGCGCATTTTATTACGTAAACTCCACTGGTAGTTTGCATAAAACATCACGAAACATTCCTATTTACAATCGGTCTTTCATTAAGAATATTTTACGAATCAAATTACTTTCTACACCTTTCCGATAATGTCAGTTCTCATTACTTATATGCTTAGTACACGTTCATAAAAATGCGAAATACAGAATATTACCTGTGTATAAAATTTTAGTCGATTTATTCCATTTGAGTTGTAAAACCAACTAATTGATTACTTTCGCCCTCAACTTGATGAAAATCGATAATCAAGAAAATACAGAGAGCAGATTTTCACAAATTTTGTTTAACATGTGGCACGTTTCGCCAAAATTGGCTTCTTCATGTATGAGTACTTACTACTGACTCCAAATAGTTTACAATTGAAACTGGTAGTACACAAGAAATGTAGATTACACTTTAGAGTTATGCCTGACGAATCTTTTTACATCTACTCTGTATTTTTTCTTCGATCAACATCTAACCCAATATCACAAATTATTTAAATAACAAGGGTCCCTTTTTCAATTTTTTTTGTACGTTCTTATTTATTAATAACAACCCTACATTAAATACTAATTATGTAATTATAGTATATAATGTTACATATAAAAGAAATTATGAGTGCTTCAGCACAGGGCAAAGTAGTATTACGTAAATGAAAGTTAGTATCAGCAATTTCTTATGCTGAAGTGTACAATGTGTTGCATACCTACTTACAAACAATTTTTAACACAAAGGAAGTGATTAAACAAATTGTTCACAAAAGTAAATTTCGACCACTCGAAGCAATGGTGCTGACAGTTTCGTGCTCACACTGACTGATAGGGGGGAGGGCGGTTCAATAAGTACCCGTGTAAATGAAATGAAGACACAATTTTTTTTTGTTTTTTTTTTCAACATAGTCCACTTTTAGAAAAATACACTTCTCCCAACGATCCTGCCATTTTTTTCCCCTCCAAAAAATAAGATTTGTCGAACTCTCCAAAATCCCCCCCTGTCTCGGCGATGACTTCCTCGTTTGAGCTAAATTTCTTTCTCGCTAGTCATTTCTTCATGGTAGGGAACAAGATGAAGTCACAGGGAGTCAAATCAGGGTGTGCGGCAGCAAATTCATAACGTAATTCATGCATTTTGGCGGCAACAACTCCTGATGAATGTGCCGGTGCGTTATCGTGTTGAAAACGCACCTTCTTTTTCGTCAAATGCGTCCGTGTCTCCTTCAATTTTTTGTCGAAACAGTCCAATAACTCACTGTAGTATTGTCCAGTTATCGTTCTTTCTTTTCCTAAAAAATCCGTGAAATGATTTCCTCGGTAACAACGTTTGCCAGGCTTCCTGGTCGCTCCTATCAAAAACGGATCTTTGCCCACGTTTAAATTCGTTGAAGCAATATCTAACTGTAGTCGTAGATGGCGAAATGTCTCCATAAACAGTATCCAACTTTGTTTTCGTCTCCTCGCATTTCTTCCCATCCAAAAACAAAAAGCGAGTTGCCGAACGATACTGCTCTTAGCGAAAATAACGAAACACGTCTCAGTCGAATGGCTGCCAAATCCAAACTAACCTATCAATCAGTCTGAAATTCGTTTTGGCGTGGTTTGATAGATGGCAGCACACGATGACAACACCAATTTCCCTCAGGAACGTCCTCTGTTTTCAAACACGGGTACTTATTGAACCGCTCTCGTATATTATAAAGAAATATTTTTATGTAATAGTTCATAAGTAATAGAAGTATTATTTTTATTGGATGTTAGACGTCTATAAGTGTGTGTGACCCTATCTACCTACAAGTTTAACCCAGCAGAAAAATCGATGGGAAAATACGGTGTCCTGTCTGAGCTTTCTCAGCCAATTCCATTTGGTTTTGTTATCCTTCCATGCGCCAAAATGCAATTTATGGACATGTAACATGTAAATTTGTATTTTTTGAATTCATATAACCAGTTATGTTAGAGTAGTCGTGCCGAGGCGTTATTAAGGGAGTTCTCGCGAAAAATAACGTAATCCTCTAAAATACCACCGGTAATCCGGCGGCGCAGCGTGTGCGCCTGCGATAAATTAAAGAAAAACAGTAAGAACGCCGCGTAATTTAGGGATTGTCATTGATACGCGTTTGCTGTAAGTAGAAAGGGTCGTAGTAGGCGCTCGGAATATTGTAATGTAAACCCAACATGATCGTTTAACAAAAACGACCAAATGAAGTAGTATGCTAATTTCAATATTAAAACAACCTGTCTCTCACTTTCGCTGTTATTCAAATAAGATCTTGCAAACAACTCAAGAACACACAACAGTTTGCATACCTTTTTAGTAGGTGATATTGCAAATACTACATACTTCCCTGTATTAAATTACAGTTGTTAGCATTAAGCATTCATCTAACCAAAGCCTACTCATTTTATTTAAACTACTAAGTTGTAAAAACGAGTATCTCTACTGCTTGCTTCTTTCGTAAAGACGGTGTGTTTGAAATGATTTTCTAAATTACAATTTCAGTTGTATACACAGTGTAGGTAGGAATGATGAAATTTTCAACATCCTGTGTTATACTACACTTAAAATAGCTAAGATCTATCAATTTCGATTCGCGTTAATAAAGCAGGCACACAATAGTACTAATATTAAACGTTTACCATAGGAAATTATTGCTAATGTATGAGAGAACTTTTTCCCAGATCATTTTTCATTTTCAATCGTAAGTACTCTGTTTTATTAACATATATAATCACGCGAAACAAAACACAAAACGCTCGGAAAATATAAGGCACAGCACGATATTGATGGATCTCAGTCAGTTGTTTCCATTTCGCGTTGCTTTCACAGGAAATTACAAATTCCAGATAAAAACGAATCATTCATTCACTATATATAACCAAAATTAAAATTAAAAATAAAATTTCAAACACACCATCTTTTATCATCGTAAGGTCGTTAGATTAGCCACGCACCTCCACTCTTTCCTATCCTGAGCTAATCTTGGCATTTCCCTGAAACTAGAACATCCCACATCCTTAACTATTTGCGAACAATAATCTAATCTAAGTCTACCTCTATTCCTCGTAACTCCTGTGTCTGTCTCTAATATATCTCTGACTAAACCTTCATGCCTGAGAAGGTGTCCTACCAACCCCGCCTATTTTTTATTGACTTTAATAGAGACACTATCTTTACTAAAGAAGTAAATCACATTAAGAAAAAGATGGTAAAGATCAGTTTAGTGGTTTGCGAGAAAGTTAACTTTGAATGTATGTCACCTTGTTATGTTCTAATTTTGATACGTAGTTTAATTCTAGACAATTGGTACTCAATGTCACTAAGAAATAGATTTTTTTACAGGTTTTCTTTTACCTTAGATAAGTCATTCATTGGCAGGTAGGTGGTGTATTCTTTGAATGATTGTACCTGTTTATAGTTTTAAATTTTGAAAATTGTCCCTGAAATAATTATGCGAAGCGTGAAAAACACGAGAAGTCATAGATCTTGTCAAGAGTGGTGGCAGCACCAGCGGGATCCCAACGCGATCCCTCCGCCAGGATTATTAAATCAAGATTAGCCTTCCGAATGTGTGACCGTTCACGTCAAGAGGGTACCATACTTAGGCAGATGCATATTATACTCATACGTACATGCATACACGTATGTTATAAATATATGCATATACCGCGACCAACAAACAACCCACAACCCAACCAGACAGTGCTTTTTTTTTGTGTTATTATTATAATTAAAACGGCTATTGATTTGTGGATGCAGCGGACGTAAGGAATGCCGCGATGGTGAAGAAAACTATGAATACGAATGAATTAACGACATACCTGTAACAGGTTGGGACTAACAGTTACGATAAGCTTTTTGGTTAATTTTTACTCCTCGACTCTAAAGTGTTACCAAATTTTTATTCTCCAACGGCACCTGCAAAATAAAGAAAAAATGCAACCGACTTGATATTGAAATGTAGGGAAGATTTCAAAAAAATTTTAAAATGCATATTTGAAAAGGCAATAAAATTAAAATTGTGAAAAAAAGGAGTAGAAGCAAATTTCGATTAGATTACTGTTCGCAAATATGTGATATTTTCTAGTTTTAGGGAAATGACAAAATTGTGACTCAGGATAAGAAAGGGTGAAAATGCGTCTATACCAAAGGTGGCAATTCATCATCATCATAAGGTCGTCAGTCCTAAGACTGGTTGGACACGCACCTCCACTTTTTCCTAACCTGCGCTAATCTTCTCATTTCGCTAAAGCTAGAACAATCAATATCCTTAACTATTTGTGAACTATAAACTAATCTAGGTCTACCTCTACTCCTCCTAACTTCCGTTTCTTCTTCTAATATATCTCTGACTAGACCTTCATGCCTGAGAAGGTGTCCTACTAACCTAACTCGCCTATTTCTTATTGACTTCCAAACAGTCCTATGTTCTCTTACTCTCTAATATAATTGCGGCCCCTTTAAGCAGGAAGTCTATTAAAATTACACCTTCAGAATCCTTTTTCGGCAGTGGTGAGTCCCAATGGGTCCATTCCTTGCTCTGTACGCAAATTTAATCACCACTCGTTGCTAGACACCCTCCATTTTGATAATATGATATGACTTTTTCAAACTGTAGACAGGATTTAACAGGTCCCGACTTTTATAATGCGATGTTAAAATAAATACTCTTTTGATCTATAATCGAGTTAGGGGCGGAGCAGAGAGTTCAGCACTTGTACTATATGCAAATGTTTTTTTTAAATAACGTGTAACAGTAGAATTTAGATTTTCGCCCTGGAAAGTACTTTATTTTTTGTTTTCGCTTGTTACAGGTTGTAAGTTCCATGGACGCCATGAAATACTCCATGGACGCAGAAAAGTACCGTTCTCCCTATATGCCTCCCTCGACCCTTACAATGTCCATGTATTCCGATCCTAAATACATGGATTCGTCATCAAAGAGTTACCTCGAACGAGGCTACTTAGATTCCACATCGGCTCTGACGAAAGCCTACTTCGAATCCTCGAAGATGTACATGGACGGAAAATACAATCCGGAAGCGACGAGACCTTACTCCTTGGACATAGGTAAAATGTATCCTGATACGTCACCTCCTCTAGGGGGTAACGTAGCTTCCCCCAGGTCGAATTCGGACTCTCCGGATGTGAAACAGAGTCATAATTCAGAAAGGCAAGACGGAACTTCGTCTTCCAGTTCGACGACAACATCATCAGCTGGTGCTTCACCTGGTGGACTTGCTGGTTATTACCCCACAAACGCCATGCAGCAGAACGGATCAATGCCGTCGGGTCTGTTGCCGATGGCACAGTATGCAAGTCAGTATCCCACTCAAACACCTGGTGGAGAGTTTCGAAGGCCATTGACTGTCATATTTTGACCAGATCATTTACGCGCATAGATGTGTATGTATAAATGCAACTTGTTGACGACATATTTACCTAAGTTTAGTAGCAATCTTTCGCGGCATCTCACAACAGATTCGTCAATTTCTCTAGTAAACCGCTCATTGCTGCGTATGAATAAGTTACTCAGTGGTAACGTTTTTATTCGTTTTTGTGCTATTCTGAAAACTAAAATTCCTCTTCACAGGCTTTTCCTTTATTTTTATCCAATTGAATTACGTACCAAATAAAAAGAATATTTTTTTAAAACATATTCAGAAGTTAAATTATGCCGTTATTATAGGATTGCCAACATCTACAATTAAATTACCCAGTGACTGTTTAGAAAAACGGATTTAACCATATATTTAAAAAAAATAAAACTTGTCTGCAAAAGATGCAGATTTTTATAATTGATATTTTTAGTGAAATCGCCACCATATGAAATTAGTACTAACATGAAGGGGGCACAACAACATGGCCAAAATTAGACACCTTTCAAGGGCTAATTTGGTGCCAAGTTTAAAACTTAGAAGCTTATAATTTGTGTTTAGCGATTTCTTAGTATTTTCTTCTTTTTTCTTAACACTGGATACATCCTGAAGGTTAAGCTGTGGTTATGGCTACCTCACCATGACCTAATCTTTAAGGAGTGCATACATTTAAAAGGAAAAAGAAATACATAAAAAAAGTCATTAAACATAAATTGGGCCCGTAATTTTTAATCTTGGCACCACACTAGCTCCTAAAAATCCCCTAGTTTCGAAATCCGTTCTGATCATTTTGTTGCGCCAACTTCAGGGGCTAATGAATCCGATTGTTATTTAGTTGAAAGTTTGGTTAATAAGTAGGTGCAAGTACCACGAATTTTTAAAAATTATTCGAATATCGCCAAAAATCAACTTATCTAATAAAAAAAACAATGGGTGGACTATTACACTTGGTGTTTCCCCTACATTACCACGGAAAACCCGTGTTCTGTGGTTTGTATGTTTATCGGGATTAATAAAACTTAAATTATCACATACTCTTTCAATTAAATTAAAAAAAAAAATTACAGCTTACGTTTTTAGCATTTCAACCACCGAAAACATATTTGAAGTAAAAATGATGAACAGGGAATATAAACCTAAAATTTAATTGTTTTCATAAACAGTTTTATGTAATAAAAGAAGAAATGTAAATTCTTCTTGCATATCCGACAAATCGTTTGTTTTTTATTTGTTAAGTACGTCGTTTTGTATAATTATTCCATGTAAATAACTTACGATTAATGTAAAAATGTAAATAGTCCCTACATACGTGCGTATACATATTATAAGCAGTTACGAATTATGTAAATTATGTTATTGTTGGTTAATATCAACGACCATATACGTTATTAAGTATCTTATTCTTATTCCAGATTTATTAATAAGTTTATTTATTTTTAAGTGATCTTATTGTTCCTTTTTCAGTTTACAGCACGAAATAGCGTACACACTTCTATATCATAAAAAAAAATAATACACCTTAGACGTCTTGTTCACAATGTTATGTAAAAATCAAGTAGGAAAATAAAAATGTGATGATTATTAAGTTAAATTTATTTTTTATTTTTTTTATATTCCTTTAAATAATACGGTGGGTATAGTCACGAAGTGTTTTTAGGTATTGATAATTGTGAATAAACGTGCCTGTCCTTGAACTTCTACTTCTTACGAAAGGGTAAGTACACCTACCTATGTAGCAATTATGCAATGTGTAATTCATTGAATTAAAACGCTTCCGCTTATGACACGCGGCTGTAAGGATATATGAAACGCGGGGACGTGGCACTAACAGAAAGCGTTGGACTGAGTTGTCACAATTATATTAACAATTGTTTATTATAAATTTAGTTATAAATCGGCTCAGTAGTTTCCCGGATTACCCTTGATTAATAAACAAACTCAAACTGATCTTCAGTATGGATTATAAACTACTTGTTAAAAAGTTAAATTTAACTATAGTCAATAGCTTAAATTAATCAATAAGTTAAACTTCTGATAATTCTTTTATTTTATTGTACTTTTCAGCACAAAAATAACATCAAACTTTGATGTATAGGTACACACATAAAACTTTGAAGTACAAACTGATCCTCACCTGTCTTACGGGTCTTCAGTTTATTCTGTTTCTTTTTTTCTGTTTTGATTTTTATCTTACATAAGTAAATAATACCGTATGCGAAAATGCGGATCTTGGCATTGAGTTTATAATATGCCGCTCTCATTATTTGCAATAAGGACGACCGGGCGGTGCACACCGACTACAACAGGTACTTGAACGCACATATGTAGGTACGAATGCACATCCTCGATAGAAGTAAATTGTATCATGCCGGGGTTCACTCTTACGCTACCGGTATAACATTCTTTAGTCAATCAAAGAACTCATAATTGCAAAAATAGTATCATAGAAATAACAGATCAGTATTAACAGCATTGTTAAATCAGTTTAGGAGGCATTCAAACAGGGGCGGCCTTAGTCATTGGAAGGTTCCGGGCGGGTAAATTTTTGCGAGACCCTCGTCTTTCTGGAATTAATTTTAATGATGATACCTACTTGAAAAATGCAAAGTGATTCATAAATAAGTTTACGGTTTTAAAATTGTTTATCGGAAATTAAAAATTGATAAAGACAAAGATAGAAAATTTGCGGCTTTTCTTAAGACTATTAAGAAATTCAAATAAACATTAGTAGCATGTACTATTGTATTACTACCTAAAATTGTTCTAATTAGATTGTTGCGCGAGTGTGCGAGGCCCCTGCAAGAGCGAGGCCCCGGGCGGTTACCCTGTTCGCCACCTCCAAAGGCCGCCCCTGCATTCAAATATTACATAATCTGACGTAAAAGGTGAAGGTATCTTATGCAAGATAAGAACCATAAAATAATTAATAATTTGAATCGCATTGTAGCGTATCTTCTTGAATTAGTCTTGAATATATATAAGCAATTTATTTAACACAGAATCACTACACTAAATGCAGTTATTCATTATCACTGTAGATCTATCTCACTGTTTGGTCTTCTCGTTAGCGCATTATTTATATCGCTACCTTGCTTGGGCTGTCGACTACATACTCTCAGAATCTGGTCGCTTATTTATATCGATAACAATATTTAATCGTTGTTTTAATCTCAATTTTCAATAAAACCTTTAAAAAAGTTCTTATATGTTATCATTCGAGGAAGGATCCATCCCTCGAGAACAGTATTTTTTTCCTTGATAAAAGGTACCTTATATGTCCTTTTGTGTACCCCTGAGAATATGTACAAAATTACATGATAGGTGTTGCCTGCGACTTCACTCGCGTTAATATCCTAGATATGTGTCAAAAATCATCCACGACCACATAAAACTAATTATCCCTTTCCCTCGAAAACAGTATTTTTTCCTGGATAAAAGGCACCCTATGTCCTTTTCCGTACCCCTGGCAATGTGTACAAAATTACATGATATGTTTTACCTGCGGCTTCGCATGCGTTGATGTCTTAAATACGTGTCAAACTTCCGGGACCACATAAAATTATGTTTTTCCTATCCCTCGGGAACAGTATTTTTTCATGGATAAGAGGTACCCATATGTCCTTTTCTGTACCCTGACGATAAGTACAAAATTACATGATAGGTTTTACCTGCGGCTTCGCTCGCATTGATGTCTTAAATACGATCACGTAAAACTAAATCTTCCTTTCCCTCAGGAACAGTATTTTTTCCTGGATAAAAGGTATCCTATGTCCTTTTCCGTACCCCTCACAATGTATCTACAAAGTTTCATGATAATCGGGTGAGTACTAAAGGCGTGAAGTTGTAGCAACCAAACAAACAAACACATTCGCATTTTTGATATTAGAAAGTATTTTGTGGGATACAATATCGTGCCGAGACTAGCTGGTGTTACAAAAATTTTGTGAAAAATTCCGACCAATACACAATAGGTTATTGATTTAAACGAGCATTCTCATTTATTCATCGATTACTCCGGGGCCCCAAAGAATGCTCTTTAAATAAGGCATTTTGTTAAAGCGATATTCAAACACTTCGGGTTCCATTCGACACACTGCTGTCGCGGCTTGATAAATGGCCTTCATAATAGTTCATTATACCTCTCCACTGTATACACTCTTTTTTCTTCTTTACGTCCTTCTCGTTGTAGAAGTGTTCCCCGCGCCTTCCACCATCTGCGCCCTATGATCAATCCTTTACGCCGATTCACAGCCGAGGTGTTAGTATAGGAAAATTTGAAAATAAATATTTACACAGTAATTCGTTGCGACGTAACCCACCCTCTTTTGTGGCCCATTGTGCGCCGTAATTAATGTTTTTACAAGAAATAAAGGGGCAGCAGCAGCAACTCCGCTTCGTCCCGACACCATCGAGCCACCCGTCTTCATTCCACCGGCTTAAATTAAAAACGAACAATGAGCTTGTGATTTACTAAATAATGAACTCTTTTAGCCATGCTTTATGCACAGTTTGCTTCACAAAGAACATAACTGTTATTAATGAGAAAATAAAGCCCAACATAGAATCACTTTCTCGTTTGAGGAACTACATAGCTGCATTTTCGCACTAAACTGAATGTCACCCAAAAAAGAAGTAGTTAAAGAAAGATATTTCTTTACTTCTTACCTAGAATTATGTCAAATGTGCTAAAATAATTCTGTCTGTAAATGAGAAATCCGTTTAAAAGCAAAACACCTTCGCTTATGTCCACCGTTCGTCCGTTTTTGTCATGGCCGAATTTTTCAGATTCAGTTGTTTTTGAAATTTAGTATACTAATTTGGCGATTTTCTTTAGTTGGCGTTCAAAAATTACAAAAATTTTAAAAGTTTCAGATACCTTAACTGCTTGTTAAGGTTTATATTGTAGAATGTAGTGGGATGGGTTAGTAATAAGAAGCTCAAAAATATATTTGAAGTCTTTTGGCGCTGCTTAAAAATAAACTCGATTCACACGTATAATCAGTACGGAACGACGGCAGGCGACGCGTCGACCGTTTGCACCTATGGACGCCATTACATGGTAACAGGCACGTTCGCTTTTCGTCTTAATGTATTTATGCAACTTCTTGTTTTTTTTACTAATTTCTAGTAGTTTCATTCATTTATTTTGGAAAATTGGAATTTTGATTTTTCACATCTGTTAGATGCGCCGTGAAGGCTACTTTTTTAATTTGTATGTGGAATATTCATCTCCTACGAAATATAATTACGAAAGTATGTTTTTTAAAAGAAAATTGCCGTAAATGGTTTTTAATAGTAATTAACACCATTTGAATAATGCTTGGTATTTGGTAAGTTTGGTGACCATGGTCAGGATTGTTTCTCCTCCGGTATGAACACGGATGGAGTCGTTTATTCGACGTTTCGTCGTCCTCAAGGAAACGTAGCGAGGACGTAAAGTCCTTCACTGTGGTTGTACTGATATTCTGTTTCACAATTTTTGCGCTTTCATGAAAGAAGGGTAATCTTCATCAACTCCCTGCCGCTCGTGCGATCGGGTAGCGCCGGATTTCCGAGGAAGGTAGAAGAGCATAATTAACGAAACGTCAGATAAACGACTCCATCGATGTCCTTGCCGATGGAGAAATAATTTTAGACTACGGCCATCAAGTCCAAGTATCAAGTATTATTCAGATAACAGCGGCAGTAAAAGCCTAACTCTTTTTATTCACATCAATGTGCCAAGAAATAGTTGATGCTCGGGTTAGTGCAGTGGTTTCCAACCTTTTTGTACCTGCGCCCCCTTAATTTTTCTAACAATTACAACATTATAAAAATTTAATGCGACGGTTGAGTTTGTTTTTCAGCGCAAATTTTCTCAAACCGTGGTATCACTGTAGAAATCGCGGTTCTCGGTTCCTTTTCAATCACTAAGCGAGATCGATACTTTGTTTTTAAGACTGTAGAAAAACCAGTTTCACATAGGTAAGATGTTACAAATGGCAATAACATTTCTAAAGCTTTCTTTGTCAAAGTAGGAAAATCTTCGTCGTCGAAAATGATATTTTGGAAACAGCTGCATGCCCCCCTTGCAACAGTCTCGCGCTCCCTAGGGGGGCGCGCTCCACAAGTTGGAAACCACTGGGTTAGTGACAAAAATTGATAACGGCCAAAAACTTTTTTACAGAAAAACTTCTATTTGGAAAACTGAAAGAAAATCACAGTAATGGGACTTAATTATTTACTCATTGTTTGTTATAATAAATAATTAGATAAATAAACTTATTTTTTATTATTTATTATGATTTATTCCGCGTCGTGAAACTAGTTGTGTCCGCTCTTGTACCTGTTAAAGTAACTTTTAATAAATCACATCTGCAGAATTATTGTCAGAGGTTTTGATAAACGATGTCGTCCTGATACCGCGATACCTGTACATAAGAGTACGGAATTACACATGTAAACGGACAAATACATGCATAATACAGGGAGACAAAACGACGTTCTCGATAATGACGCGCAATATATTAGGAGCAGCAGCGACAGTACGTCCGAGAAAAATCGTAAGCA